GTGCCTAGTACTTTATGTGGGACATATGCACATGCAGTGGTTTAGTGATTCGATTCAAAATGGCCGACTGGCAGCCATCTTGTTTTTTGAAAATGTTTTATTTTGGACATGCTCTGTCCGTTTTCATTCAAACTTGGTACATAGATTATACATATTAGGATACATGTCCATGATGATTTATTTCACAATTGGATCAAAGATGGCCGACTGGCAGCCATTTTGTTTTTTGAAAATGTTGTATTTTGGACATGCTTTGTCAGTTTTCACTCAAATTCAGTACATAGATCATACATGTTAGAATATATGTCCCGACCGTCCGTGTGTCCGTCTGTCCGTCTGTCCGTCCGTCCGTCCGTGCGTCAGTCTGTCCAGAGTCATATTTCAGAATCCTGTGGACCGATTCCGTTCATTCTTTGCATGTGCCTAGTACCTTATGTAGGACATATGCACATGCAGTGGTTTAGCGATTCGATTTAAAATGGCCGACTGGCAGCCATCTTGTTTTTTGAAAATGTTGTATTTTGGACATGCTTTGTCAGTTGTCATTCAAACTTGGTACATAGATTATACATGTTAGGATACATGTCCATAACGATTTATTTTGCAATTGGATCAAAGATGGTTGACTGGCAGGCATCTTGTTTTTTTTTTATGCGGTATCTTGGACGTGCTCTGTTTTCATTCAAATTTGGCACATACATGTACTTTATACATGTTAGGATGCATGTCCATGACAATTTATTTCAAAATCTGGTCAAAGATGGTCGATTGACAGCCATCTGACTTTTTGCCTTACTACTATATTTCCACAATTTATGTACCATTTTCATTCGTATTTGGCAAATACATCATACATATCAGTGTGTTTCATAATCAGATCAAAGATGACCGAATAACGGCTGTTTTTATTTTTGGCCACATTACTACTACACGGAACACATGTTTTGATGTAATAAACAGTCTGTTGTATACGTCATTGGAACTCAAGTTTCAAGGACACGTTCGCGACAACCCCTCCGCTTTAATATGATGAGCACAAAGAGAACTTAATTTAACGGGGACTGTGTCATTTTCAATGACTTGTTCTTTATTATTTTCACTTTTTGGAAAAATTTTTGCATTACTATAGCTTTTATGCATGCCTTTCCTAGATATAGAATATAGATATGTCAACAATTATAATTTTGTTCACATTTTATTTTTGTAGGAATTTTTCCTGTATTCAAGGTGGCTTGTAAATATATGCCAGAATGTCTGAAACCATTCACTGCATTACATTGTCAACACCCTAGTTTTAGTAGAACACTGAAGCAACCATACAGTACTGGATTGATTGGCAGTATATGCAAGGTCCATACTGATCCAAGTATAAATGTTAGGTATGTTTTTTAGCTCTATTAAAGTTTATTTTCTTTAATAGGTGTGTTTAATTTGTCAAAGCCACGAAATCGAAGATATTTCATTTTGTCAGAGGAGGGTAGGATCAAACGGTATTAAAATTCATGTAGGTTGCAAACTTTATTTATTTTTCATTGCGACAAGATTACAGCAAGATTGGATAAATTTCATTGTGCATTACATAATTGCGCATTTCACAACCAAGATCTGGTTCTGGAATGACAGATATACCTAATTTTGCGCACTAAAATGGCCACCATGTATGAAGATAGAAGCGACCTGCACAAACACAGGTGTCAAATTACTTACTTTGTCTGAACAGGGATTAAAAAAAGTATGATTTTCACAAACATCATTGCGTTCATGTAAAGAGGTGTGAGGGTACATGGTGCTGCATGAAATAGCTTTCGTTTTTTTGACAAATTCGAGAACACCCCTTAGCAATAATGCAGTGACAAATTGATAGCATCAATGGTTTCCCATGCATATTGGACAATGTGCGTTATCATGAGATTTTTACTCCTGGATTTAGCATACATCGTAATTGTTATTTTCTCATTTTTAGGACTGGTTTATTGAGACCTAGTATTCCAAGTATTATCAAAACGCAGCCAGTCACACAGTGGAGTTGGAACAAATGCAAAAAGAAAACTGTGAAATCAGTTATCCATAGGTTTTACAGACTTCATAAGTAAGAGTCTTTTACTAACATAATACAATAGTAGTAAATAAGGCGGAATTTATGGCAAGGTGTTATTTTATATGACTTTTCTACACTCTATAAGGTGACATGAAGGCATCACTGAAATCAATTAGCTGTTGTTACAAGTACCTGTGCAAGCACTTTCCTGAACCATTTGAGGAAATTTGTATTTTGTGAGATTGACTGTGACTTGCTGTCTTAAAAATGTTTTTTCTGCAGCACAATTTTGTGACCCCCGCCCCACACAGACACACCCACTCTGAGAAGATGAGCTTTATCTGAACATCATTTTACTGCTGTTTGTATTTTTAATGTAGTGGTATCTGGGTAAGAAGAATCGCTGGTTCGAACAAGAAAGCCTACAAGAAGACTGGAGAAAGACGGAAACGTCACAGATACAACGTTCTATGTAATCGCTATCAGTCCAAGGTTCTTGATAGAATGGTAACACCATATTGGTACCGCAGACGTTACTATATTGAAGATCCATGGGAGAAATACCACGATAGGCATTTTACATTAGGTCCAAAGTGGTCCGGTTATGACCAAACCAAGGTCTACCAAGCTAACCGAGTACCAGAAAATATGAAGAAGTTTGTACCTCCACCCAGACCAGAATATGAATATAGATATGCTAAGCCCAATAAACTTACAGTACCAGATGGGAAGCCACCGAAGTTGAATTGGAAGGACATTGAACAGTACAAAGGGCAACACAAATGGACAGAATGAATTTACAGAATTCAAGGAACGTTTAGTCGTCAATTGAAATGTGTGGTTTGAGATTAGAAATGCTGATTGTTGAGCATTGAGAAGTAATTTACTGCACTGCAGGGCTAAAATTAACACAAGAATCAACTTTAATAGAATAAAGATATTTTTGTTTTATTCACACATTTGTTCTCCAGTTACATCAGTAATATGTAATTCACTACATGATGTATCACACATATATGTACAATTTATTATAAAACAGCAAGTCAATTAAAATTAGTTTATCAACCATAGTAGAGCCTGCTCTTTTCTGACTGACTGACAGTTAGTTCCATCGGTCACAATATTCCCACATCACTTCATATTGGTTGATTCTAATGTAATCATTCATCATCTGAGCCATCAGTATTCTCCTCTGATTCACCCTCAGCCTCATCCTCGCTCTCAACTTCTGGTTGCTCGGCAACAGGAGGTTCAGGAGCTAATTCTTCTTCCTCGTCATCTGATTCTTCTGGTGCTACTGCAGCAGTTGCACTGTCCTGGGGATCATCTTCACTGATCTCTGATTTACCTGAAGCATCAATGTTGTCTTTTTCTTGATTGGACGACTCTGGCTCTGATTGATGCGTTGGCGGGGGTGGCGATGCATGCTTCATTTCAATCACGTCTGTACCTTCAGCTGTACTTTCACCAAAATTTGGATCTATTGTATCATGGTACGCCATCGTATCCTTTAACTCCCTCTCAATCGGAGTCATCTGTGTCTCCTTATCTTCCTTTCCAATTGTAAATGTTTGTTCTTCTTGTTTCTCATCCTCATCTTCTGTCTTATCTAATTTTGCTGTTTCCTCCTCTTGTTCTGTTTCTGGTATATCAGCCAGTTTTCGTTTTGGGAGGGTTTCATCCAGTGCTACTTCGGACTGATCAATATAATCCCTATACTCCTTCATGGACACCACACCATCATAGACCTCGATTAGTTTCTCTAACTTCTCTTCCGGGGTTCTCCTACTTGGTGTTTTTGGTGGGGGTGTCAGTGTTGATAAGTATCTACTACTGTCACCTGCTGGCGTCTTTGGTAAAGACATTTCATCTTCTTCAGAACCAAATTGAAATCCAGGTGTGTTTGTTCGTGAGCTGAGTCGAGTGGAAGCTCTACTTCCAGCGATAGATTTATCAGTCTCCTGGTGAGAAAAAATGAAATGTGGTTATTTGTTGAATTATTTCCTCATCTCATGTTTTAGTTTTATTTAGTTTTATTTTGTGCATGTTAATGAGTTTGGTGTGACATTGCATAGCACTATATCTATTACAATAGAAACATTTATTGCTTTTGCAGAATTTGGGAGCTGAATGAAATTAATAGGTTTTAAATTTTGCACTGAGAATAAATACAATTCTCATTGTTTGAAAACAAAACTATTGTACTGGAAAAAAATGACTAAATTAATGTCAATTCATATAAAAAAAAATAACAGTCGATATAGGATGCCCTGTGCTTGCATTGGAGATGACTTTTTCATCCCATGTTGCCAGAGAAAATTTTGAGATAATTAATTCTACCATAGAAACCAGTGTAAAATTTGATCATTTTCCATGGCATTTCAGGGACACAGCTATCTTTTTGTATTGGGAGGGCATTAAGAGAAACTGTGGTTAAGGTCTGCAGATGCTTGTGTTTGACCTGCCTGGTTGATGTCCTTGATAGTACATTATATTGCCACAAATACTGACCATAAGGCGATATAGATCTATACTTACACCTTCAGATGGAGGAGGAGCGGGGGTTCTTGGTACACTGAAGTACCTCTCGTGTAATAGTTCCCTGTTTGCTTGTTTTTCATTAGTAGTTATTTTAGCTGCAATATTCAACCGTGTGTTGAGTCGACGCACTTCTACTTTTATAGCTTGTACCATGTCCATGTCTCCAGATGGACTAACACCTAAGGATTCCAACGCCAAGGCAACTTGTCTGAAATAAAAATGTGTGATTTCACAATATTTGGCAATTTCTTGTATCATGGGTGAAACTTTTCACGTTAAAGGTCAATTTAGCCAAAATCTGAGGAAAAAACGCAGGTTTGAAGCTACAAATAGTACATCATTTTACTCAATACAGGCTAATAATTTTAATGCCTTCCATGCTGCATTTTTTTTACTTACTCTCTGACCACTTCGTCTGTCTCTACAAGTAATCTGTCTTGTAATATATGCGTCACATGATCCCCTCTCATACCAAGTTTAACCAATGAGTGACAAGCTTCAGCTCTGACACCGGCACTAGTTTCAAATCTCAGTGCCCACAATACAGCCTCACCAATCTCTTCTGTTAGTAGTCCTATCATACCTAAACCTATAATGGAATTTTATAGAGACTATAATCAGTTACCTCAGTCTGATTTATCTACATTAATGGTTTAAATATTTATTATCTATAGGATTTTGAGAAAAAAATGTCAAGTGTGCATCACATTACATATATGCAGATGTACATCGCATTCCTACAGCTAGCCACAATCAGTCCTCTGTCCCTGGAATTATCTCTAGGCTTCTTAGTTTACTTGCTAAAGAAACTGTCAACATGATGAATGCTCATTTCCATATTAAGATGTTTTTCTTCCTAATCATTTTTAACAGTGACATCACTACCCATGTCGTCCTTTGTATGTGTCATTGTATTTGTCTGGGTTCCTTGATTTTTTGACAGGCTTTTGTTGCTAGAAGCCCACCTGGCCCCTAAATTCCCTCATTTGGTGTTTAGTAGATAAAGCTGGAGATCATAATCTGTTTACCCATCTGTGAGCTAGTGTATGTGTGACAAATTTTGATATATAAAAATGTGTGAAATATGTGATGTCTGTCCAAAAACAATTTGTATCAGTCTTTATTCAGGGGAATATTGCGAATTGATTCCATACAAAGTTTAGTTTAAAATTTATTTACAAATATAGGTATCTTGTAACAATTATAGCAGATCATGATCACGCTCATATGTGGTCATCTGTGTTTCATCATATTCGATTATCAAAAGACTCTTTCATGTGTTGTGACATAATAACACTTAACAAGATTCAATTAGCGAATTACTGCAACCTCACAGTAATTAAGATGGAAGTGAATGTATTTCTCACTATAAACATATATTTGCACAATCATGTAATAAGACAGTGAATGCTTTCATAGCGGAATTTACCTTTGATTGCATGTGCCTTGACCTTCCAACTACTGTCAAACTGTGTCTGAAAGAGTAGTTTACGGATGATCTGTTTGTCTTGAATGCGTAAATATCCAGCCGTGTTAGCGGCCGCTGTGCGCACTGAGATGTACTCATCATTAAAGCAGGATAAGAAAACTGGCATCAACTTAGCTGTCATAATACCTGTAAAATTGAAATGACAATCAAACTGAAAACACTATTATAGAAGATAGCTGTTAGAATATTGAAAGTGATAGCTATTATAGACATGATAGTCCAAAAAGTTGTACTCTATTCACTCAATTTATTGAGGTCTTTATTAGGGATTTTTTGATGAATTACTGGTATTATTATGCATTTGAGGCATAATTCATAATGTGAATCCTTGTGAATCAAAAATTCAAACAAACAGGTTTTGCTCCTGGTCATTGAGTGCAATTTGGCGCACTGACAGGCGCACTGACAATGTGTGCCACAGGTTTGATTTCTATATTAGAGAATGTTTTGTGTATCCAAATGCATGTTTTTAAAAGCATTAATAAATATTTCTTTAGAGTTAGAAGCAAAACCTAAAACACAACTTGTAACTTCATCATAAAATGAAGTTTCTGGATGCTGTGTTATATCAGAACTATTGAACAAGAAGCCTGTCGAAAATATCACATTTCACCAAAAATAACAAAAATATTCACTAAAATTAGAGAATTAAAGATATCATTACAAAATGAACAAATCTGAGAGAGGTCC